CTCTCTCTCTCTCTCTCTCTCTCTCTCTCTCTCTCTCTCTCTTACACTCTGCAGCATTCAAACAAAAGTACTTTTTAATGAACACCCAGTGTACCAACACTGACAATCTTTGCATCTATTCTGAATTTTCTGCATGCATATAGGTTCTGTTGTTGAAATTTCTAGCTTTGATTTTGATTGCAGGTGAAGAAGAAATGGCATGAATTATGTTATTTCAAGAGTTAATGTTATGAGGAAATATAGCTGGTAAACTGCCTTTTCTTGAGAACTTTAATACCTTTGCTCTTAGGATTTTAAAAAGCAGGCTGCAGTATTTATGTCATCCAGTTAATACGTGCAGTGATGAAGGGTTTTGATATCATTGCTATAAAATTGTGTCATTTGTGTGTATTTGATTGGAATTTTCCATTCCAGGGCCTTGTTTAACAATATACTGCAGCTAAATTCAGTATCCATTCAGTGGTGAAGGAGTTAATGTTCTATCTGGAAGACCACAAGACAGATGAGAGCCATTTTCAGCTTGTCCTGTCCCTGCTGAAGCTCACTGAGTAGCACAGCATGGACTAGCGTGTTTCACACACACTCTCCCTGTCTGGGGAATGTACACATTGTCCTTCCAAAATCAAACTTATTAGCACATGTAGAAAAGGGTGACTGACTTTGGGGCAAAGCTGCACTCCAAGCAGTGCTCGTGCTGCTGCGGTTCAGAGATTCAGAGGGGTTGGAAGGCAATGCGAACATTTTTCTACAAATCCTTTTAAAGTTAGCTACCTCGTTGCAGTATTTGTTTGCCTTTGAAATATCGGGTGCTGGCATTGTCTTGGAATACGCCTTAGATGTAATCACGGTATTTTAAATTTGTATGTTTGTGAGTCTGAACTGTCTTACCAAAGAGACACCATTCGTCTTAGGTGGATATAAAACTAGGGTTACATCAGCAAAATGGAATATTTGTGAAGATTTAAATTCTTTTTTAAGTTGCATGTGCAACTTAAGCACAGATAACAAATGTGTTCGATTTATTGGGATTAGATTGGATTGCAGGCTCTGTCTTCTGTGTGTATCAAAATGCTTTTTAAATTGAAAATTCTTCTCTACCTGAAATTTAGGCAATGTCTTTTTCACATTACACTATGCAAATAGCAAAATGGTTGTAGGATGCTAAAGAGTAACTGAGTGAGGAGTGAGTATAGCCACCCAGAGGATTAACATATTTAAAATGAGATTAGACTTAATCAAGAGAATCCTAAAATCCATCCTGCCACCAGGGAGTATGTCCTTTGGGGAATGGTCATGGCTCACTGGTAGGATGCATACTTGATGCAAAAGGTCCCAGAATCAATTCTCCATCTCTCCAGGTAGGAACTGGAAAGGCTTCTCTTTGGAACCCTGGAGAACTGCAGCCAGTCACTGCAAACTCTAGTCATCTGGGTAGACCAGTGGTCGGACTGCACACAACGCTCCTTTCCTTTGAGGCTGGTGGCAGATTCAGCCTCTTGTTGGTACTAGGAAAGTTCCAGTGGATAACTGAAGAAAAAGTACTCAAGCTTCAAAGTATAGGTCACTGTGCCTGAATAGATTATCTTTGCCAGTTTCAGTTGTGCCATTTTTAAAAGGGATCCTCTCTAACATTCTAATAAAAAGGTGGGTTGCGAACAGAAATAATTTAGAACAATTATTTGGGTTTTATAAGGCATGAAGTAACATGTGTTCTTTGTTCTTTTGAAGTATAGAGGATACTTTTAATGTTGCTTTAGGATTGCATGGTAATTGGTTTCATCTCATCTTGCTGTAATATGACAACTCTCCATTGTATTTATTGTTCGCTACTCTGACAACCTTTTGATGAAGGATTTATTACTTAACACAATCATAAATAAGTAAACAGATTTAGGACAAATAGTGCCAGGATCCAGAGAACATTTTTAGATAGGCCCATGATGGCATGCCCTCATGAGAGTTTTAACATTTTACTTCAAACAGGACATTTAGTTCAAACATGTCACGTTACAAATTGCTCTTGGCTTCAGCTTCAGCTGCTAAACTTCAGAAGTAGTTTGTTTTACTGCATGATGAAACCTTAACATTAACCCAGTGTTGGAAAGCCTGTTCTTCAAAGTCAAAATTTGCAAATGATATTCTTCTATAAATACATTTCCATTTTCACACATAGGCTATAAACAGATCGTAATATTGCAGAAATCAACTTACCTGGCATTCAACATGTATGATTTAAAAAGCAGATGATGTGGACAAAGATGGCAGTATTGGGGCTAGAGCAGAAGCCATGAAGTTGGTGTAGCGTATTTTCTAGCTGAAATTCAAGTTGGGCCTGCCTCGGCACAAAATGCGCCTCCTTGAAAATGGAGGTTGAAATAGGATTCCTCCCAGCCACCTCAAAGACTATTTTTCTCTCTCTTTTCCACTCCCTCTCTCCGTACAGATGGCTGCATTGCAGAGTCCATTCTATGGTGACAAAATGAATTTGTATTCCTTGTGTAAAAAGATAGAACAGTGTGACTATCCACCTCTTCCATCGGATCACTACTCAGAAGAAGTAAGTAACTTCGCCTTCTGTTTGAAAGTAGAAGTATGAGAACAGATTCTGGTGGTGAATGATGCTTTTCATTTTTTTCTAACAAGCTTCCAGTCTGCATTTGCATCTGGGGCAGAATCCACATAGTGGAGTGCTTTTGCACAGCTTTCATGCAGTTTGGTGTAAATGTGCAAGGGGACTTTCCTGTAATTCCCTTGTCTGTACAAGGGCTCAGCAGTGTGCTAGGATGTATTCTCATCTCTGAACTTGATCCTGCAGGACGATGGTGTACTTGTGCAGTGTGGTTGTAGGTTCAAAGTGTGGAGATTAGTTTTTAAGGAGATTGTAATGTGATCCATAATACTTAGACTGTTTCTAGGCTGTTTTGCTGGTTACACCTTCTGTGTAAAAGAATAAAATGCAGACCACATATGAGAAAAATTACTGAAAAGCTAGTCAATTAATCATTAAATTAGTCTGGCTAAAGCGTGTTGAACAATAGGAATCTCTTATATTCACTTCTCTTATATTTTCTGAATGAATTTCCCTTATGGTGTTTTCATGGCAACTCATTTTCCTTCTGGTCACTTCCTGGAAGAGTGTGACTCTTCATCTGTCCACGAGTCTTCATTCCTGTATGCACAGATGATCAGGCTAGCTTTGCGTCAGGCTGCCATCAGGCATGAGAAGGCAGCCTGTGTTTCCATTCCATCTTTAGCACTTCCTTTCTGCTCAGTCGAGGAACATGAACTCAGAGCTTGGCCAGAAGGATGGGTGGGCAGGCCTCCTGTACTTCCCTCCCCTCCCCTCCCCTGTGTACACATGGAGAAAAGGGAACATAAGACCCATTGTTGAGAAAGGTAAGTCCTACATCAACATGCTACACCCTTGTGAGAAAGGATCATGCCCTAAGAAGCACAAGTTAAAAATATACCACAGTTCTGCTGTCCCCCTCAGTGACAGACATGTGCCATTGAACATTATTTTTTATTTAAATGTTGAGGATTGTTTAAAATACATATGGACTGAAAAACAATGATGTAAACACATTCTTATTAACTGATACAGAGTGGACCAAAAGAAATGGACCTGAGACACTGCATGGATGTTCCTATGTGTATAATTTTAACATGTATGTAAAATATTCTCTTAGGGTTTGAACAGAGTAAAATAATAGCAGTTACAGCCAACAAATGGGCTATATAAACTTATTCTAGAACAGTGCACATGAATTAAAGATTATGTCGAAATGTACATAAACGTCCTGTCTGAAATATCTTTTGTAAGTATTACAGCATTTGCAAGGCTTACAGAATGGGGAGTAACTTATAATTTGAAACCTTGAATCCTGTTGCTTTTCAAGATTGTGATTATTAATAAAAGATTGTGGTCCAGGAATTTTTGCTCTTTTTAAAGTTCTTTGTCATATACTGTGACAATTTGTACAGTTTTACCATAATGACAATTCAAATACAGATTTTTTTTCCTTTTAAGGGGATAAGAAAGAGTTTATGAGGTGGAGATGATGCTATGCATTAGGGCATGCAACATATCCTTAATGTAGTTTTCCCAATTAGCTCTGTGTGTGGGTTTTTTTTTCCAGTGGCCATTTTTAATTATTACATTTTTGCAGAATATAAATGTGGCACTTAATATAGGCAACTTCAGAACCGGAGGCCTAGAAATACAGTAGGGTGTGAACAATAATGCAAAATGATAGCAAGAATGTCAGGGGCCGTTCTTTGTTGTGTCATTCATGCTGTCTTCCTTTTTCCATGGAGCACATGAATATTTCACGTATCTGCATCCTCATCCTCTATTCTTCTTGACTAATTTTCAGACTGTCTGAATTTGCATTTCACATGGTAGCTGATTAGGAGATGCCGAGTGCAGCAGTGAAGCCTCAGCAGGCGGTTGCCATGGTGACCTTCAGCAGGATTTTAATGATGATACCACTAGTGGTTCGTTGAAGTCAGCCTGCCTGGAGGGCTACTTCACTGCAGCTAAGTGTGAAGTTGGATATATGGATTCTCAGCCAAGGGGCAAATATCAAAGTCCAGCCCCGATAGAAGGTCTTAGTACTGGGAAAGGGAAATAGAATCTACTTTTTTTATCAACTTAGTCTGCATAGTCTCCAATTTTGGAGGAGGGGTGCTGGGGATTCACAAGACAGATCATGTTGTATTTTTTCCTTGTTCAGAAACAGGGAGTTTTCCTTTCACATTCCTTGTTTTTAAAATCCTTTTGCTTGACAACAACTCGAAAGAGGAAATGGTGATACCTAATCTAAGTATGGAAGTAATTTCAAAACAAAAGTGAGTCTTTGCAGAAGAGATACTGTCACTTTGAACAGGTCATCACACCAAAATCTTGCCTTGCGTAAAGCCTCTTTGAAAGTGCAAGGATTTTTACCTTTTGTATTCTCTGCAATAACATAGTTTTAATTTTGGAAGTCATACACAGAATTAGAACTACAGAAGTGCATCTGTCAGACAGCAGGAGTTTTTCAAGGACTTCCCTAGAAAATTTAGGCTTCTAACCATTACCCAGGTTGAAAAGTGCGCTCATTTGAGTGGCTGAGTTCAGGGATCACTGAACAACGAAATCTATGTATATTTTTTATGTGAATAAATTTGACAAAGGAATAAAATCACCGCATCAGCTTCTGTCTACCCACAGACCATTAAAGCAAAGCAAAGAGGAACCTTTATAACAAGTTCTATTTTAATACACTTCTACTCAATTTGCTTTTTGATAATTGTGCTATAAATGGATTCTGTCTGAGCCGTTTGCAGCATTTGAAACAATTTATAGCAATGATTTGTGAGGTAGGTGTCAGGATACCTTCTTCATCCATTCGCCATTCCGTCGCTAACAATCCAGTTCACAGTGTGCTTATCAAGCACAGCATTCCTCACAAGGTCTCCACCCATTCTGTTCATTTACCCTGCTGTAATAGTGCTGCAGTTTCTTTTCTCTGAATCCCCTTCCCACTGGACAGTTCCATTGGCTCACCATGTTGCCAACTGCTGTTTATTCAGCTTTGAGCAGTTGAAATGTTTCTCACTCTTCCATAGCACCTCAGCACCTGAAGAATAGGAGGCTCTCATTTCAATATACTGAAGCTACCCAGTTGGTTTCAACAACTTCAACCCACATTCTTTCTGTGCGTGGTTTGTTTTTGCTACATTTATTTGATTTGGAAGGCAGACTGACAAAAGCAGCATTTTGCAGATCTATGTGTTCCATGTATTCCAATCTGAATACATTTTTTGTCCCTCTGCAAATCTGCCTTAACAGCATCAAAAGCTGGCTTTAACTTTGCAAATAAATGCACAGATACTGATCAAAAAATAGTATATGGATACATACTAGCTGTCAATGTCAACTCATTAATGATAATTCTATTAGCATGAGGTTATTTTTGGACTCCTTTACTTTTTAATTTTCCCATTAATTATGATACAGAAGAATTTTATGTGAAGAGAATGTTGCTGTCATTGTTTTCAATTCTTTATGCTTTTCCTATACCGTTATCGTTTTTGCTTTGTGTGGGGCTCTAATATTGTAGCTTTTAAAAATATTTTTGGTATTCTAAAGACAGAACACATGTCATTAATATACAGAGAAAAAAACAGACTTTGGCCTGGTTTAGAAGGGTCCTTCTTACTATCTTTGTGTGCCCAAAGGAAGGTCGCCTCACACAAATACCTCTAGATAACATCTCTCAAAAGCTGAAAATCCATGCAAATGTATAATCATGCAGACTCCTGATTTTCCCAATTCTCCTCCTTCAGGAATGGCAGAGGAATTTCACAGGCCAAGCCTCATGACTGTGCATAAAAGCTATATTAAAAGTATTTACCGTTTAGTAATGAGTCATACTTGTCCCAGATAGAAGTGAAACAAAATAATTTTTCAAGTATTGGAAAGATGGGACCATTTTCATGAGTTACCTGCTGGCTGAATGGCTGAATGTGGGCCTCTATCTTCTCCAACTGAGCAATATCTCATTTGAGATGAAGCAACCAGAACTGCACAAAGGATTGTACACTTAAGGCTGTTGTGTAGATTTGTGAGTGCACTGCAGTACTGGTCTGCAGGGTGTATATACACTTTTGGTATAGAGGTTACTTTTTTGGTGTTGGCAGCTCTGTCTTAGAACACAGATCTAAAACTATTGAGAACAAGTTTCTTGGAACCCTTTGCATTCAGTTTCCTTTCTACACTGGGATACTGTTCAGAACAAGTTTAGGCAAAATAGCCTTCTCCTCTGAGGCCCAGCAATATTCTAAACTAACAGAACTATCAGCCAGTGTGGTGTTGTGGTTAAGAGCACAAACTAGGACTCAGCTGATCTTTATTCTAGTCCCTGCTCAACCATGGAGCCAGCCGGAGCCATCTTTGGGCCAGTCACAGACTCTCAGCTCACAGGGTTGTTATTTTGGGGACAAGACTGAGAAGGTGGAGAATAATGGAAGCTACTTTGAGTTTGTTGTAAGAAAAAGAGTGATACATAATTAACAGATAAATAAATAAGACACAGTATTCAAAGTGTGGTTGTCTCATAGCTTTATAGAGAGGTGTTATAACATTGACAGTTTTATTTTCAGTTTCTTTCATAATTAGGCTAATGTAGAATCTTCACAGCAGCCCCATTGTTCTGATGTTTTCAAGGATCTGTCTACCGCAACCCCAAGATCACTTTCTTGGTCAGTCATTGTCAGCCCAAACTCCACCTACATAGAATGGTTTGCCTCTGTCTGCATCACTGTTCACTTGATTTCATTTCCCATGTTTTTTCATATGAATTGCATTTTCCATTTTAACTCCCCTTCTCCCAACCTCAGGAAAGCTCTCTCCCGTCTGTGTTTTTAGCTACCATAAATAATTAGTTGTCCTCAGCCAACTTGCCCACCTCATTTCTCAGCCCATTTACAAACAAGTTAAAAAGCACAGGACTGAATGGAAATACTTGGGGGATCCTATAGTTTACCTCCATTTATCTGCCTAGCCCAGCTTCTTTTGAGAGCAAGAGCAGTGGTGTTCTCTGGGATTACGACATGGAAGGAAATGTCCTTAAAGATTCATTGTGGGGAAGATCCACATGCCAGTGGTATAGCATGGGTGTTACACATGAAATCTCCAGTGAATTTAATTCTGGTGTGTCCAGTTTAAAAAAAGACCTTAGGTAACATAGCTGGCAGAGACCCTAGTTTTAAACCATGGAAGGCCTCTGGTGCTGCTTGGCACAGACAGTCCTGTGGTCAGCTCAGTGTGCGGCAGTTCCATACATGCATCTACTAAAAGTGAAAGCCGTAGTAGCAGCTTTTTATGAGTCAGATGTTAGATGGAGTGAATGCCCTCTTGCTCTGGAAGGAGCACTGCTGCTTTCTGCTTTAAATCCATGCTCTTCACCCAGAAGTTTCCAAACACTGGCTTCCCTGTGACAGAAATTTTTTTTGTCCCTTTTTTATGGCTTGAGGGACACTTCTCCCTCCCCACCCCCTTTTACTTGGAGACTGACAAGCCCGTTAAAGTAAAAACGGAATGTGTCCCGCTGCTCTCCACTACTAGGCTAAGCTCCAGGCAAAATACTGTCATTGTGCTAAGTTCACAGAGGAGGTTAAGGAGACTAAGCAGAGCTGAAGGAGCGGGCTGTTCAGGGATGCAACAAGAGCCTTCCCAGCACCAGCACAGGTACTGTCCCAGCCTGCCTCCTGTGGCATGTGCTGGTCATCCCCTACCTGACTGGAATATATTGCTTTCCCACCTGGAATACATTGTCATTCTGACAGCTCAGCTCAGCCTAATTCACGTTAGAATCCCCCAGGTCAGCCGAATGCACCTGGCAATCCTAGTTCCATGATAATAGCACACCTTCCTGACTTGGAAGAAGAGATTGCTGGCAACAGGCTGTTTCACCAAGAGGCTGCTGTGCTTGTGTATTCGCTTGTTTGTTTCCGGATTGTAGCAAGCACTTGGGCAACAGAGTGGGAGCTGCTGTTCTGTATTTGACGAAAGAGACAATGCTTTGGCTTCAGGGATGGTACTTTAAAAGATTTGCAGACGTTTCCACATGCACCACTCTCTTTCCCATAACTAAAGTTCTTGACATCTACCCAGAGCCTCCATTCCTTCCTTTTCCTTAAGAAGTTGTTCAGCTGTCAGTGTTGTGCTTTTTGTTTTTCTTCAAGCTCAGGTTAGATATTCAAAACAGGACCAAACCCTTGGTTCTTTTGCCTATCTTTCTACCATGTTCAGCTAAGACCAGTCATCTTGTTGTTTAGTTGCAAAGTCGTGTCCGACCCATCATGACCCCATGGACACCATTCCTCCAGGCTCTGCTGTCCTCCACCATCCCTCCGAGTCCACCCAAGCTCACACCCACTGCCCCAGTGACTCCATCTAGCCCAGTCATCTTGCTTAGGCTCATATCTTCATCTCTGTGCATATCTTGCAGATTCATCTCTTAACATCTTGCTTATTGGAAAATGTATACTTATTATTTTTAAAAAGGAATCGCCTGAAACTTTCCAATATGTCTGACAGTTTTTTGTTGCCTACAATCCTGATGAGTAATTTGTTTTTTTAAACAAAACTTTGTGTGTAGACATCTGTGCAGAACTACTATTGATCTCCTTGGGCTAGAATATCTGAAGAACCTGTCACAGCCCCATGCTTTGAGGTCATCAATTATGATTCTTCTTGTATGTATACTTTTGAGAACAATATGGCAGAGGGGTCAGGGGTAGGGGTGATACAATGGTACTCTTTACTAGCTTAGGTACTCCAAGCACCAAACCTAGAGTCCTTCCGAAGAGTCCTTAAAAACTTTCTTCAGTGGCCTCCTTCCAAGAGTTTATGGGCCTGCTTGATCGAAATTGCTTTGAAGAATTCCTGGTATTCCTGTTTGTTTGGCTGGTTTTAGTTCTGCTTTTTGGCTTGTATTACTAATCAATTTGCTAGTTGGATTTTATTTCATTATGGTTGATATTTTATGCACTTTGTAAGCTGCCATGAGAAAACTTTTAATATCTTGAATGTGGACAATAAGCACCCTTAAATACGTAAGTTTATAACCTACCCTTCCTCACAAAAAGCATAGAATGGTTACTAACCTATATAAAAATGACCTGGTTCAGATGATCAAGTAACCCATGGTAAGTGAGCCATGACCTGCTTGGGCATGTTTGCATCATGAATGGTTCCTACCTGCATTTTGCTCCAGAAACAATCCAAGCATGCCCTGTTCCTGGGTTGTCATCATGATCTCTGAATCTGGAGCCTTGTGTTATTTATGCATTAAATTAGCCCATCAATTACAGATACTGTAGATTGTTGTTGGTTAATTCTGGGCTGTTTAATTCATGAACAACCCACATTTTTGAGATTCACATGTAATGAAGTAACACAAGTGTAAAACTTCACTAGGTTAATGGAAAGTGGAAGTAAAAAGTGCACAGGAAGCAGCACAATTGTCTTTTCACTTGTCTGATACATTTTGTAGGGCGTTCACTCATAAGGTTGCCATACATCAGAAACAACCTGACAGGATATAACAGCTGGGGCCCAGTGAAACTAGTGTTACATTTCAAAATGTGGTATAGTATTTAACAGTCCTGGAGGACATCTAAGTTCTAGTTCCCACTCAGCCATGAAGCCCACTGAGTAATTTGGATCAGGCACTGCCTCTCAGTCTAACCTACCTCACAGGGTTGTTGTGGGTATAACATAGTGGGGAGGAGAACCTTGCAAGCTGTCTTGGGTTCTCTGCAAGAGGAAAAAAAGTGGAATGTAAATGTAATATAATAACCAAATGCATAATAATAAAGCAAAAAGTCAATAGCACTGTGGCTGGAATTATGCAAGAAGTATCACAGTATATAAATGCTGTAACTCAAGGAACACTGAAGAGCCAGAAGTTGTATGCATAATTGCTTTGTGCTCGTACTTTCCAGTATTGCCAATTAAAGATGTGAGTGAAGGGAGAGGACTTGAATCATGTTGCCTGCAAGTACATTTTTCCTTTCTGTATTGGTTCTAAACGTACTATTTTTATTTTTCTAGCTGCGACAGTTAGTTAACATGTGCATCAACCCGGATCCAGAGAAGCGACCAGACGTAACCTATGTTTATGATGTAGCAAAACGTATGCATGCACACACCGCCACCAGCTGAAAGACTTGGCAGCTTACAAAGAGAGAAACAACCTGGAAATGTTCCAATACTGCTGTTACACAAACACCTCCCACCTTTTCTTCTACTTGCCTGTTGCCTTAAGTTTAGTTACGTGCATGTGTTTAGTTACAATGCACGTGTTTAACAATTTCGTCACAGCTTATAACTTAGAACTACTTCCATTTTTTAAAAGGTTATTATAAATATGAAACTGTTCTAAAAATGACGAGCAGAATAAGAGAACTGACAACCAGACTGTCATAGGAAGATTGTAAATTGACAAAAAATGTTAGATTGAGAGCACAAAGTATTTAGCTGTACAATCAGATATGTGTTTGTATGCAAATATGGCTTTTGACTCCTACAAGCAAAACTAAGGAATCTCTTAGTTGTTTGTATTAATTTATGGAAGTGATGAATCAGCACAATGAGGGAATTTAGGCTTCATTAGTGAATTTATTGCTGCCTTTTCCCCTCCCTCCTGTAGAGGCAATTAATTAATAGGGATTTTTTAAATGAGTTATACAGTTTACAGTTTAGGTTGTCAGGATAAATACAGGGAAAAAACATTTTATGGGCTGCTCAACTTTAGCACAGCTGCAGAATGTGAAAACGTGGATTATGGAGGTTGGTTTTTTGCTTTTGTTTCTTTCAAAAATTGTCCAACACTGAACAAAATTCCTAGTGAGCAGTTTCATTTTATCCGTATATAGCATTTTAATCGCAACTACTAAACTTTGATTTCAAGGATTTCTATTATGTTGTGCCTTACTCCTTCAGCCTACTAGGTGAGTAGGAGAAAATTTATTTGCATAGTGCCTGAGATTATGTTGGATAATCCCCAAATTCTGTAGTTATCGAGCCTTGGCTGCCCAGGTATGATCAACCCCTCTTGATTTCAGTAGCTGCGTGGTAAGCACATGAAAGTGATGCGCCAGGTATAGTGCTTAACTTGGGCTGCATTGTGCCCTCTTGTTTCAGTATAAAGGTAAATTGAATTGGAGCACATGACATGTCTCTAAAAGAGGTGGATTTAAAAGCACTTCTTCGTACACTGTGATGCCCAATGAGAACTACTGACTGCAGCATCTTTTACACCCCTGCAAAACATTGACACAAATTTGTTCTGGCTGCATAACATTCAACCACGTGGCAATAGGCAATCCTTGTGGCAGCTGGGCATTGACATAAGTCGTCTGGTACAATTGAGACATCTGCTGCCTGAAAGGCAGCTTAATTGTGGTGCAGTCGCTCTTAGCTTTTTGATATCCCAAAGTGAAATTCTTACATGTGGATGGGCTAGAAAGAATTCTTAAGATAAAATAGACAATCGTTACATTGTAATTCAGTTTGTTAATGCACATAGAGGTCCAGTCACTTAACATTTGGAAGGCTGTAATGTCGAAGAGTCAGAATGGCCTGATGGACCATGAGAACTGGGATATCTGTGTCATGTGTTAATGCTATTTGCAGAGAGGTAACTAATGAGAAACCTGCCAGTATTTCTTTGTAAATAGGAATCCTTACAGTTTTGTCCAATTCACTTAAAAATCTTTAGTGATCGCTTCTTCACTTGTACTCAGTGGTATCAAACTATGCAAAATAAGCAATATGTATATAACTGCATCGCTGCTAATGTTGCCTTGCACACACCGACAGCCATAGGATTTAAGACAGTAAGCTGCAATCCTCTGGGCTCCCAAGGTCAACAGGGAGGTTACCTTGGAGTCTTAGCTTCAAGACGCTCCAGTCCTGGAGCTGGGACTCCAAAGGCCAGTGCCTCCCGCCCCCAGCTGCCGCTCCAAAGTCACAGTTGGGTCTTGGAGGTAGAAATGGAGTGTGCCTGTAGGAGGGGAGGCAGCTGGGGCTGTGAACTACTGGCTCCTGCTGGCATCCTAGCCTCCTTCCTTTCCCCTCTGCAGCTGAGTCCAGCCATCTGGATACGATGCCTGCTGTGAGCACAGGGCACAGGTGGATGCCACCAGGTTTGGGGGCTTGCAGGCGCTGTGAGTGCAGCCTATAGGACTGTGGCTTGAGGAACGTTCCTCACAGCTGGCATGGAAAGAAGCTCGTCAGCAACTCTCCAGGGCTGAGAAGGCAGCCTTGAAGACGGGTTGAGGAAGGTGTTGCGGAGACAGAAGGGAGGGGGGACTGAAGTAGTCCGGATGCAAGATACCCTAACACCCGTCCAGTCTCTGTCTCCTTCTGAGATGCCTTAGTAGATGGGCGAAGCTGCAGGATTGGAGGCAAAGATCACTTCCACTACTTCTCTCACCAGATGCCTGCAAGCCTCCAAGGTCAGATTGCATTATAGCAGGAGCGTTGTTTGCTGTGCTTACAACCCGACCTATTGAATGTTTAGCTGGAAGCAAGTTCCACTGAATTTTATGGGACTTACTCCCATATAAGTGGCGTGAATTGCACCTTGAGGGAAAACTGCTTCTGAAAATAATAGTGTTACCAGTAATTATGAAGTTGATAAGCCAACACCTGCCAAACAAAAATTGTCTGGTGTTGATAATGGGTGTTACATTGAATGAAAGTTGATTACATAGGTAAGCACAAGAATGTTACAGATATTTCATACAGATGCCATTGGCATTAGAAATATCAGGAAAGTGTAGAAATCAAGAAATTCGAGATTGGTACGGATGCTCCAAAGGCACTCTGTCATGGCATAGCCATGGAAATACATGATAATGAAGACAGCCCTGCCAGATCAATTGAGCATCTCGCTTATTATGCTCTTCCCAGGACTCAGGGAAATATGGCTAATACAGAGGTCCCATGCCGCATATTACAGCTATGAAAGCAAAGGGCCGACCCAGAAGTCACTAGTTTCTTCTATCCCACTTGGCTAACACTCAAAGGACAAGCTGACCCGTGCAGGGCTGGCAGTGCAGAAGCTTCCAGTGCTGGCAATAACTGGTCCCTCCCTAGGAGGAAGCTCTACTGCATGCATCCCGAGTGCGGTGGGAGGACAGTCAGACCTGTGATATAGAACTAGCTCAGACTCGCACATCAGCTTCCCCTCCCTCTGTATGGCATTTGATGGGGATTTCAGCAGGTCCCCTTATGCACTGTATTCCATGAAGTGAGAAGGCCAGGGAGTTCCATCAGCTGCTGCTTTTGCTACAAAAGCTCAAGCTTGTTGCATATATAATATATATATATGGGTTTTAATGGCAGTTATCCCCACTTTGGGGTTGCTGGGGTAGCAGGTAGCCACTTCACCATATCCAGTCCTTTTGTTCTTACTCAAGTGAAGGACAGTGGAAGGGTGGGGAAAAAGGGACCGGAAGAGGCAGAGTCCCAGTGAGTCTTGGGTTGAGGGGTAACCACAAGGAATCTGCTCCACTCATATTGTGCTCCCAGCTCAATTCTAATAAAAAGTCGGACTGTTCTTCCTGTGAAGAGTCAGTGGAACATTCTTTTCGACTGCTACATCACCCAGGGCTAAATTTCCAACTGAATACTTTTATATCACAATTAATATTTAATGGGTGCCTAAAGTTTTTTTTTCCAGCACGAGTGGAAAATATTATTCTAGACTTCGCATGTGTAGATGTTGCTGTTAACATTTCATGTATTTATTTTAACAAAACTGTAATTTGCATTAAGAATGCATATTCTTTGAAATGAATGTATTAGTAACCAAAACATGCATAACTTTTCCACAGCCTTATGCAAGGCACTGTACACAAGGATTGTAATCTGTGTTTGGAAATCTATGTTGTATGATAGCTTAATGTAAATAAAGAACACAAAAATAAATATATTGTAAAATACTATGTGTTAATGTCTGCTTTTCCTATCCCCCAAGTATTCCTTGCTAGAATGCTTTGTGTGATAAGAGAGAGCTGTAAATTAAACCATTTATTGGAACTTTTTAGGAAATGGATTTGCCTTCAACACAATAGGAGATTCCAGCAACACACATATCTAACTATTTTAACTGTCCATTCATAGACACCCTCTAAGATGATTGCTTCTAAATGCTAGACATTACTACCATATCCTCTACATAGCATCAGTTCAGTGGAGCAATCATCCTTTCCAGATGTTTACAGATGACTTCTTTCTCAGTGGTTTGTAATCATAGAGGCTTTGCATGGCATACATATGCAGGTTTCCCTACATTCAGACCTTCAACAGGGCCTACCTAGAACCATAGATGTAAAGCACTCTTTAAAAAATGGGCATTTCACACATTTGTCAGACATCTTTTGCTATGTTGTACACACAACTGAGTGACTCATCTCCCCGCCCACCTCCACCACTCCTGGAAAAGTGCAAAACTCCCTGCTGCAGTGTGAGTGTCTTTCACACATCCCACAGCCTGGGAGCCCATCCAACACTTGGCATGCAACCAGTTGTGATATTCATTAAATGTGCATGCCACAGGTCCTGAACATCCCGACTGCATCCTTGTTCCTGTTTCAGGAGCGCCTTTGTCCTTATATCCCACTAAAGTCTTCTAGGGATAACCCTCTGAAGCTTGTCTTTGTACAGATAATCTCAACTAACCAGAGGACTTTCTCAGTGGTTGTGCCTAAGTTATGGATAGCCTTCCTAGGGGAGAGAGGTCAGATATCTGGATTGCTACCTTTAAAACATCCTATCTCCTGATGAGCTCCCAGACCAGTTTTATTTAATATACTTGTTTTTAGTTGAAATTTTAACTTACTGGTTTTAATCTCTCATAATTTGCCCAGATACTATGGGAATAGGGTAATACATAAAAATATAAATAAAAATAGATTTCTTTTTTAAGCTACTGCTCTTTTTGTCATCACTAATACAATTATGTAACATTTCTTCAGTACCAACAGGTACAGCAAGTGAAGCCCCAAAGCATTATGGTCATTACATCTTGCATTTGGGCATAGAAACATAGAAACAGAGCAAGTCAGAAGGGGTCTCCTGGGCCATCTAGTCTGACCCCTGGTTCCAGCCAGCTCTGCTTATGACATGCCTACCATGTGCATGTCCAGCCTATTCTTGAACACCCAATAGGGCTTCAACCACCTCCCGTGGAAGCCCATTCCATGCCTTAGGGGTCCTAAATGTCAGGAAGTTCTTCCTGGCACCCAAATTGAGCCTTGGTTCCCTGAACTTTGCTCCACTGGGAAGCGTCCTGCCCTTCCCTGCAGGGGAAAACAGGTCTCTGCCCACCTCATGCACCTATATGTTGCCAACAGATCCCCTTGTCGTCTCCTCCAGGCTGAAGAGACCCAGTTCCTTCAGTCTCACCTCATACCCCATCCCCTGCAAACCGGTCACCAACCTTGTGGCCCTATGCTGCACTGACTCTAACCTGGCTATATCCTTCCTGTAACGAGGGGCCCAAAACTGAACAGGAAGAAGGAGGAAGCAGAGATCAAGAATGGAGAGCTGTGTGAGGTGTTCTGCAACCGTGACAAGGGAGGGCATGCTTGTGTTTTTCCTCTCTCCATGTGTCCATCTGCTGTTCATTACCAATATCTTGCTTCTCCAACTCTCCTTCCTTGCATCAAGTACTTTCTTTCTTCTTAGCCCCTGCCACAGGCCAATTTATTAGGACAGAGTGGGCTTACTATTTTCAGATTTTTCCTTAAAATATTTCCTTAAAATCATTATTTCCATCAGAAAAGCAGTCATTGAAAAAAATCTAATAAAACACTGGTCCCTGCTTTGCTACTGTGGCCTAAACTTATATACACCTCCCTACCTAGCCCTGTGATGTGCTTACAGTGGGAAAAAGATTCAGAGAGCCAATTTTCTTGCTACACAATTGCCAGTTTTTGCTACACAATTGTCCACTTTGGGATCAGTATATGACTAATTTTTAGTCCATGATGGACTAAAACTAAAATAAGAACATAAAACTGCACTTTGCTAGATCAGATCAGCTTCCATCTACCCCAGTACCTCTGTCTTCCAACAGCAACTATTCTATACTCTCTGGGAAGCCTGCAGGTACAGCTTGTTAGAAATACCTGTCAGCTGCCACCATACACAAAACACTTGGAGGACCCCAATATAGAAAACTGGACCTAATGATAGAAAAGCCTTATTATTGCAGACAACATGGCTCCACAAAGCTCTCCCCTCGGCATTTTTGCAAAATGCACACATGCTGGCATCTTTTTTATTTTCACACGGAATATGTTCTTCATGGATTTGTAATTATTTCTTTGTTTATGTACATAGCTCTACATACCCTTATTAGCTGGAATCCCTTCATTCCCTGTCTTTCAGATCAACTGGCAGTTCTCGGATTACTGTCTTTGTGAGCACCCCAATCCAGTGTCTTCCCTTTTACATTTTTGTCATCCCTGACAATGTGCCTTCAATTTCTTTTTCCTTCCAGGAGCGACAGTCTTAACATGGTCTTTGATTCTTCCCTCTTCTGGAGTCAACATAGGAATGATCCTCCTGGTATCCGTTTTTGTCAAACTTCAACCATGTCAACAGCTTCTTGTTACTTCTAGTAGCTTCCTCCACACATTCTCTTGCTTCCTTTTCCTTCAGGATCTTCATTTCTACAGGATAATAAGCTAATGCTTGCAATGTGTCAGGCTTAGTATCTTAAACAAAAAAAGAATATCAGTGGTCAATCATAACAGTTCCCAGTGGTGTGAAAAAGTCCCAAACCCATCCAGCTCAGTCCTGTCAGATGACTTGATCAAGAAACTGAACAACCTGGAGAAATCATGGTAGCACCATCACATGCTCGATATACACTGTTAACTGAGGAAACACTTCATACATCTGATAATGTGGATTGCAGTCCATTGAGTGGCATTTAGCTTCAGTTGCAGGAGTATATTGTCATTGGAATTAGGCATATACAAATTATTTTTATTTGTTCATTTCATGATTATAACCATTTCTGTTCCTAAAGGTCTTGTTTGTTCAGATACTTGTTGGTTTACATATTCTCAGTTCTTCCATTCAGTGTTGCTCATTAATATTTCCTTTTCTTTCACCCTTTGTAGTTACAAGGTGTGGTGGCAGCAGCAAAACTGCCTTTGGCCCCTGCTGGCAGCCATTCTTTCCCCCAGAATACTCTAGACATTGAGTTGTTCCAGGGCATTCTGGGAAAAAAGGGCAACTGCCTTTAAACACACATGCATATACACCCACACACACCGACAGCCGCACGTTTCTCCTCCGCCTTTGAAATTAGCAGACACATAATTTTGATCACAAAATTGCGAACTGCTTACACTGAAAAGGAAAGGAAACAAACTACGGCAGGGCTGTATTTCACTGTCCTCCTTGTGACCTGAGAGTTTCTCCCTAAACATACAAGAGTCTGAAGGCCAATTGTCTTGTACACACAATGCAGTATGTTCATAAATCTCCTCAATGGAAAAAAAATGAAGCAATTATTTGGACTTGCAGGCCGTTGCTATTGGTATTGGTGTTAAGTTGCAGCTGTTAGCAGGCCTATGACACCAGTTCAGGCTTCATTAAATAGAGTCCTGCTGGTAGATACTATTGATCCACCAGCCAGCACAGGTGTAGTCCAGCACAGCATGCCCTGCCCCTACCGCGCTTTACTTCTCCCTTGGGATCACCAATCGGAAGAATTGACCCGCTTGCCTGGAGTGTTGAGAAGCCGACATGCAGTTTGATTTCAATTGTCAGTCTGACCGCTAACCCTGTAAATCAAATCCCAACCATATGAGGATTGCAGCCTTTCCTGCTCTTTGTTACAGATGCCCCAAACACAGCCCGATATAATTAATAGCATCGGCCTTACTGATGTAAATAAGCTTGCTGTTGGCCCACTACTGTCCTCAGCTGTGCCTCCGCCATCATAAGAATAAGAAGCACTCCAGATTTGTATCTTGCTCTAAAGGGAGGGCATTGGATAAATGTCTTACTTTGTCTTACATTTAGGGCTTGAAAAATACCACTAATTAAAATGTTAGAAGGAAAGCAAAGCACAGCCATTTCTAAAGACTGTTGTTGTTACATGTTGTCAAGTCATCTCTGACTAATGGAAACCCCATGAATGAAAGCCCTCCAAAATGTCCAGTCCATGACAGTCCTGTGTTTGTTTCCTAGCAGTCCGGGTACTTGCAAAGCTTTCTTGCAAAGCTTTCTTCCAGCATTCTGAAGACTGGTGCTTCTCACTATCATTGTCCATCTACAGACATCTTCCCCAAACCTGTGCCCTTCCAATTCTTTTGGACTTCAGCTCCCATCAATACCAGTTGCTATGGCCAGTGTCCAAGAATTATGAAAGGCATGGCCCAAAGCATCAGGAAGGCTGATTGAAAATCTGAAGTAAATCCCATAGACTCCATGGGACTTACTTCTAGGGAAGTCTGCATAAGATTTCAGACTTGGTCTTTCCAACAGTGGTCAGTCAATAGATCTGAAAGGTGTCAAGCCACCCGCATGCTTTGTCCTCATGGACAAACATAGGGGCTTCTGTCATAGCTAATAGTTACTGATGAAGCAATTATGGCATTGGCTAGAAGCATTGAGAAACTGCTTTGGACACTTGAGGTTGCTTATGCTGGTGCTACATCGGTGCCATAGATGGAGCAGCAGTGTTGGATACTGCTCAATGAGACCCACACACATTCTCCTCCAACTCCATTCGGGAAAGTGCAAGATTCAGCGTGATTGTCCTAAAACCCCAGTGAACTGACATGTTTAAATTCAGAACAAATCTAATTTACTGCCTCCTCTGACAGTGCAATTGTACAATTACTTAAAATTATTTCAGTGTGTGTGTGTTAATTCTTACGTCCTATAGGAAAGTATCAGTTTAAAATGCTTAGGCTTT